ATAAGATGTTGTACGTTCAATGCTATTTATAAACGCAGAGTAAAATTTTAAATGTTTGGTATACAAATTTTATATTATTCATCTTAAAAAAAATCAGAAGATAATGGGAAATATCAAAGAATCATGATGTAAATTTAAAGAAAAGAAGAAAACCCAACACATTTTTTATTAAAATTGAAAATCCAACTGATTAAAAGTCGTATTGACCTCTACAATTCTATACACATAAAACGAGTACTTATAGTATCTCAAAATGTACAAAAAGAGCCCGTTTTATAAACGCGCACTGGACATAATTGTTATATTTCTATTTAGACTTTCCACATTTCATCAACCGTTTGTGAACTATATTTGAAAATTACGAATCCGTGGCTTGATTGCACATTTAACGCAAAATACATTGAATTTTTTTTTGTTTTGTTAAGAAAATAAAATACGCAGTTACTTGTGTGTAAAATAATTTAAATGGAAGCTTTCTGAAGGTATTTGATAGGACGTATACCAATTCATGAGGGCGTGACAAATTGTCACGAATGTCCAGTCAGCTTTTATGTTGTACAAAGTTTGACGTGCGTTGATGTTTGAACAGTGTAAATGACATTGTTTATTGTAAATTTAACGGACGCCATTACGAGTTGGTTGACCGTTATGGAATAATCGTTTCACAGATGATATCGAGTATGTTCCTTATGTCGTAACTACAATCCACTTCCCTTTTCACTACGAATGTGACCTACCAAATTAGACTATTTACCGGGTTTGTAATAACATGTGCAACACGACGAGTGCCACATGTGGAGCAGGACCTGCTTACCCTTCCAAGGCACCTGAGATCTCACCCAGTTTTTGATGGGGTTCGTGTTGCTTAGTCTTTAGCTTTCTATGTTGTGCCTTTTGTATTATTATTTGTCTGTTTGTCTTTTTATTTATTAGCCCTGGTGTAGTCATTTTATTTTCGACTTAGGAGTTTGACTGCCCCTCTGTCATAGTATTATGACATTGTCTTTTAACATGAAATAAAATTGAAAATGGAAATGGGGAATGTGTCAAAGAGACAACAACCCGACCATAGAGCAAGCAACAGCCGAAGGCCACCGATGGGTCTCCAATGCAGCGAGCAACTCCCGCACCCGGAGGCGTCCTTCAGCTGGCCCCTAAACAAATAAGTATACTAGTTCAGTGATAGTGGACGTCATACTAAACTCCGAATTATACACAAGAAACTAAAATTAAAAATCATACAAGGCTAACAAAGGCCATGCACAGGCTCATGACTTGGGACAGGCGCAAAATTGCGACGGGGTTAAACATGTTTTTTTGAGATCTCAACCCTCCCCTATACCTCTAGCCAATGTAGAAAAAACAAACGCACAACAGTACGCACAGTAAAACTCAGTTTAAGAGAAGTCCGAGTCCGATGTCAGAATAGGAAACAAAAGGAAATAAACAAAATGACAATAATACATAAATAACAACAGACTACTAGCAGTTACTGACATGCCAGCCCCAGACCTCAATTAAACTGATTGCAAGATAATATCTTCATCATATGAATATCAGGCACAATACCTACTGTTAGGGGTTTAGTATTATACTATCATGAAATATATGAGAAGAACATAACCCGTGTCATGCCAACAACTGGTTTTAGAATAAATGTGTTTAATTCCGATACAAAGACCCTATAAGTGAATCAATACTAAAGCTAAAATATGCAATCTTTAATGACCTGACAACAGTATCGTACCTATATCCCTTCTTAATAAGGCTATTTACTGTATACTGTTGTGATTGTTATCCTGATTCAAAAAAAGTACTTTGCAACCGCTGAGAAAACGTTGGGTGTATTTTATATTTGTCATTTCGGAGCCTTTTATATCTTACTATGCTGTATAGATTTTGTTCATTGTTGAAGGCCGTACAGTGACCTTTAATTGGTCATTCTAAGTTATTCAGTCTCTAGTTAAATTCTCTCATTAGACTTTATCCCATCATAGATGATCATGTGTAATTAAAAAAAGACAACTACATTATCGTTTCTCGTATACATATCTATTAAATATAATAATGAAAACTTTAGTAAGATTGAGTACAACAAAAGCTTTGCCTTATTAAATCCTTGTTGCTATCTCCTTCAGACTGTCAAACACCGTCACCATAACTGTTAACGTGGTATTATATGTGATAAATTGCTGTTAACAATAGTAAACTGAGTATTTATTCACAGGAAGCAATTCAATTTAAGTTGTGGTGATAGAAATCTTAATACCACTGATACACGTTTGAGACATATGTGCAGTTCTTAAAATTCAGATTTAAACCTTGTTAATATTAAACCCAATCCCGCATGCAGCTATATGGCCATCCTGTTGAGGATGATATTCACTATTATTTTAGTGCCCTTTTCACAACGAAGTAAGAGAAATATTATTTTTCAAAATTAGAAAGATTTATTATATCCATTTTGCATCTATTGGCTGGTGACGGTGACCTTTCATTCCAGCAAAACAAAGAAATTGTTGACTCTGTACAATCATAATTCAGAAAATACACAAAGATTTAGAAATTTCAATTAAAATTCGGAATTCCTACTCTCCAACTCTTCACTCTAGTCCAGTTTTATATATTACTCTATATTATATTGTATTTTTTTTGTTTTTGAGACAAGGCCATATTTTGTCAAAAGAGAAGCACAAATACTCCAAAGCGAATTGCGAGAAGTGGTTTCGTATTTCGTTATAGAAAAAAAAATACCAGAAGTTTATGTAAAGTAACGACTCTCGTACGTTGATATCTTTTTAATAAATTGGTGCAATTGGATGCAAAAAATAATGACCATAAAATGTCAGGTTTGCGAGATCAGACAGTAACCCAACACCCAAACAATTGAAAATCTATAGGGATCAATATTTAACATTCGTCAGCAATACGAAATGTTCATAAATAAAACATGATTTATTCGAATACTGTTTAAAAAAAGAAAAGAAAATAACTGTTTGGTTGGTTTTTTTTTTGGCAAATTAGTAAAATGACCGTTTGATTTAAAATCGTTTGAAATAGATTAACGAAAACAATTTATTTACATGTGAAAAGACTAGACTTTGTGTCGTATGGATGTGATTTAGTTGATTTGTTTACAATTATTTCCATTATTTCAATAGTGAAAATCTTTAATTGTTTCATTATGCTGTTTGATTAACACATTATAACAAAACTAAAAATATGACGGATGAATTTATAGTTAGCTGTTTAACGTCCAGTGGCAACTATTAGATGTATTATTAGGAGGACATTTAAAATGTTATAAATATGAACAAGGATATCTTTTGTTATGGAAACATGTGTATCACGGCACAAGCGATGACCTATAGACACTGTGTATCATATATTTAGGGTGGGGTTGCTCCGAATAAAGGAGGTATATATATATATATATATATAGATACAGGAAAATAAAGCAATCAAATATAAAATAAGAATAAAATATATATAACGAGCAAAATAAAGAATAGAGGACAATGGTCTTAGAAAATTAAAGAATAGAGGGAAATGGTCTAGTTTTTTGTTGTTTGAAAATACAAAAATGAAACGCTAAATTATAATTTCACTTATGAATTAGAATTTTTCATTTGCCGGACACGCTCTTTTTTGATGATTGTTTAAAGTGCATTTGTAGTAAAAATAATACACAATCGTTTGTACATTGGTAGGGATTTATGTTTAGGGTTGATAAAGTTAGTATAGAAAGTCCCTGGAGGCACATAACGGGTAATTGTTTCTATTTGAAATTTCTCGAATAAATTGTTTTTTTCGACTGATTTGATAGATGAATAAAAAACATATCTATAATCTAAAAAAAAAATGGTTTAATTACGATATATACTTTTATTCAGTCGATGTTAAAATACATGCGATAGAAGAGAATACATAAAAATAATTGAACCTTTTGAACAATAGGTCAACCTAAAGACCCCGAATCAGGGACTTTCTATACTAAGTATAGAAAGTCCCTGCCCGAATATACTTTTGTAAGAACATTAGATTAATTCCAAATTCCATCTAAAATAAATTGTTCATTTAGGTAAAAAAAAAATGTTAGTACCTAACTCGAATAATTCCGCGCCCTCTATCCACTACTTTTCTCGGAGTGATCGTAGTGATCGTAATATAACGACTGGATTAGTTAATACCTTAGACTATTTTCAAAAACTGTCTGAATACCCTGCAGACTGTAGTTTACGCGCACATTCACCAACTACGTATTTCCACGGCTAACAAAATTCATAATCGTATCTTTTAATTTGTTTCAATTTATTTCAGTGTTTATTTTTCAAACTTTTTATGTAAATAATTTTGGATCAACATCGAGTCAGATTAAATTATGATTTACTAAATGATTAATTAAAACTGAAATATGCATCCAATCTAAATTTTACGCCTATTATCACCTATATAAAAAGATTTAACAGAACACAATTCATGTTTTATATTTAAAGAAAAACATGTACGATAAACGAAACTATGCACGTCAAGAAACGATGTACGCTAAACGATACGATATACGCGAAACGAAACGATATACGCTAAACGATACGGTATACGCTAAACGAAACGATGTATGCAAAACCATACGATGTACGATAAAAGGGCGCTTATGTTATCGTTTATGGTATGGTTTATGGTACATGGTTTCGTTCGTACATCATTCGGTCAGCGTCCGTACAACGTTCGGTCAGCGTTTCGTTTGCATTCGTACACCGTTCGGGAAGCGTACGTACATCGTTCGGGCATCGTCCGTACATGATTCGGGCATCGTTCGTATTGTTAACTTTTACGTTACACGGACTGTACTTGATTTTATTTTATAGTAACACTGCGACAAATAAACAACATATGCAAGGGAAAGAAAATTCAAAACAAAGTTATTATTTTCGAATGATAAAACATATCTACAAATAAAACTAAAATCATTTGTATAGAACATGGAGCTTTATTTGCAGGTTTGTGTTTCATTCAACAGTTTATATAATAGTATGTATGCTACTCATTCTAATACAACATTTGCAAACCAAGAAAGCAGCAAAACTGACAACACCGCTTATATGAATAGACGCTTTTTAAAAGCATTCATAACTTTGTAAATAAATGAAGTAACATTGCTGTTAACTTAAATTGTGTGTAATTGATAATGCATGTTCCATTTAATATTTTCATGTCACATCTGAATCACACTGTTATAACAGACAACTACAGTTTGGGTCAGTTCTAACCTCTTTTTAAAACTGTTCTAAACTGTTCAAAACAGTTCTACCCTAAAACATTTCTAGGGTGGAATTGTCAGAATCAGTTCTGGCGTAGAACTGTAAGGATCAGTTCTAAGGTAGAATTGTCCAAATCTGTTCAAGGGTAGAACTGGTTTTACATGTTTTTGTGTATTTTGTTTACTATCTTTTTTTATCGTTTTTTTTTCGTTTATTAACCTAGCGTTGTAAGTTTATTTTACAATTTTTGAATAAATCCTTTGGTATCTTTGTTTCACTACTGAAAACCAAATTTGACTTCCCTCGACCACGCTGTGGTTGCACAATAATTGAATCGCCATAATACCATTCCTGTTTGTCTTGTAATTTTGTAACCGGTATTTCTTGGGGATGTAACCGGGAATATGATTATTATATTCTTTTTGTATTTTTTGTAACTTAGTTTGATGTTTATATGATATACTAGCTGTTTCATTTTTTGAATTTTTATTAATTGCTTGTAATTATATATTTGACTAAGAGTTTCTTTCTCTTTGTAGTTTGTATGGCACAAATAATATAAAACTTTTACCTCATTTTATTATTATACTAACGTATGGTCTTAGTACTCTTTTTGATACAATACTGACGTATTATCTAAGTATCTCCATTTGAAACCATACTGACATATGATCTAAGTACCTCGATTTGACACCATACTGAATTATGTTCTAATTACCTCATTTTGACACCATACTGACGTAGGGTCTTGATTACCTCTTTTGATACCAATATGACGTGTGGAATTCATTCCTCATTTTCGATACCATACTGACGTATGGTCTAAACACCTTCTATTGACAACATACTGAGGTATGGGCTAAACACCTCCTTTGACACCATACTGACGTATGGTTTAAGTTACCTCTTTTTCGTACGTACCGTATGTATTGTACAATAACCTAACTTTGACCCCATGCTGACGTATGGTCTACGTCACTCATTTTGATATCAGTATGGTTGAAATTACCTATTTTTTTTAATACCATACTAACCTATGGTTTAAAGCATCTTATTTTTATACCATACTAACATATGGTTTACATTTAGCCATTGTTGATAGAATTCTGACTATGAACATATAATATCTATAATATGTTAAATCCTTATTTTTTTCTTTATTTTATGAATGACTATTTCGATACAAAAATCTTAGTCAGTCTCTTACAAAATATTTTAATTCTAAGTTTCAAGATTTAGCTAGAGTGATATGAAGACCATTATACATTATTGGTTTTACTGTGCAGATGTAGAACATTATACATTAATAGTTTTCACTGAGCGTTGTATAAGTTCGCAGTTGCCATGTTGTAAATAAATTAACATGTTTTTATATTCGTAAAAAAAAATAATATTTTAGTACTGAGTTTTTGTTAATATTAGTACACTTCTCGTTGTACTTAGTCTATTACAAACTGCAGACATGTGTTTACTAAGAATTGAGCTTCGGATTTATGGGTATGAAACAGCAACTAAAAGCAAGAATTATTAATTATGTTTGTCACAGAGTAGATACCAGGTAAATGAAAGAGACACTATCTCGATATTAGATACAACCAATACTAGCTTATATGTATATTTGTTTTAGCTTATTAGTTCACCGTTGAAATTCTAGAAGGGTAAACACCTTGCAAATTTTGCTTTAGGGAACGACATGTTTTTCGCGATATACAATTTGTTTAGAAAAGTTGAAGTCATAAACTTTAGAAACGATCGGTTCCTATTTAGCCCTAACGACATATCCCTAGTAAGAAAGTACCAAGGTAAGATAAGAATTGAACTAAGGCGAATTGAAATTTAACTAAAATGATCAGATGTAAATAGACAAGCTGAAGTTATGTAATAATGATTTGTTTTAACAATTAAACTGTTTCAAATTACTGAATTGTTTATAGAGTATATAGAAAGTACTAGAAATTGACTTCTTCGTAGAATTTTTAATGCATAAGTGCAATAATAAATAAATATTATAAATCTATACAATCACATACTTCAGCTGTTAAGAAGACATTAGTCTTTCAGACATCGATATTTATAGTTTATAATTTTGTCTTTTATGTTTGCATTACGGATCCAAACGACTTGAATTTAGTGCAGAGTGCAAAACATGTCAAAAAACCTCAATTTGAGATCTCGCTATTGAAATTTAGATATAGCAACAGCTTTCATAAACAAATATTTCGTTACAATATGTATTTAGCAAAGATGTTAATGTGTTTAAAATATTTTGTATCTGGTAAAGCATTTTGTCAAAACTTTTTGACTGTGTTAAATTGCCATTTTAAGTTAAATATCATGTCAATTACGACATTTTAATGACATCACTATTGACCTAAAAAGTATTTGCACTGAAGTGTCCACATTATATTTATCTGTTTATTTATCAATGAAATTAACATAAGTTTGAAAGTATTGAATGGTTTAAACAGTTTTGCAATTTCATGGGCTAATAATGGTTCTTATCATACCTCCTTCTTTCCATCTGCTTATAAAGCATCTTATAGCAAACAATATTTTTGGTTAAGTCTGGTATCAAAGCTCGATATTAACAAAATATCTCAAAAAAGGCTGTTCATGCAGTTTGTGCAGTACTGCATTAAATATAGAAGTTAAATGCTCTAAAACAAATATGAAAGACAAGTATTCAAAATATCAATACTTATGTTTAACAGACTTTAAATCACGCTACATATTTATATAGATATAAGAAGATGTGGTATGAGTGCCAATCAGACAACTCTCCATTCAAGTCAAAATTTATAAAAGTAAACCATTATAGGTCACAGTACGGTCTGTTCCAGGCCAAGAACCTCGTCATTAGTTGTAGTGGGTCTAATTCTAATGTGTTTGTTATATGGACAATTGGGTATTGACGACAATTCTTTGATTGTTTTTCAACCGTTTAATTTATTCACAACTTCTAAAGGATTTTTCTTCAAACACGTATCTGATTTTAAAATAAAATCGAAAAAGAGTTATTTCCCATGTTTGGAAGTATATTAGTATAATTACTGGTTTCCTGTGGTACAGAACAATGATGAAAAGTAAATAAAACATATGTTTTACTTTAATTTACAAACATTTTACGTAAATGCCTAGTATCATGTGGTCTTAAATTTTGTCGTTGGTTTGCTGCCTCGTTAACGTATACCCGAAATCTCCTTATATTCATATGCAATGTTTTGTGGTGGATGTTGTTTGATAGATTTATTATTAACTTCATGATATTCGAATAATACGGACCAAAACAGTGACCTAATCATAACTTCTCTTTTAAAATTTCAGTCATTTACATATAAAAGTGAATCCAGAAATATGTTTAAAATGTGAATATGGAAGGGATGCTGTGTATATTCAAATGAGGAACTAACCTAACAACATTTAAAAAACGACATCTGGAGGACAAATAAGGTCTTCAACATAATATAATGAAAATAACTCTCAGGGGCGTAGCTAGGAATCCAAAAAAAAGAGGGACGAAAGATACCAGAGGGACAGTCAAACTCATAGATCGAAAACAAACTGATAACGCAATAGAAAACCAAAGACTAAGCAACACGAACCCCACCAAAAACTGGGGGTGATCTCAGGTGCTCCGGAAGGGTAAGCAGATCCTGCTCCACATGTGGCACCCGTCGTGTTGCTTATGTTATTACAAATCCGGTAAATAGTCTAATTCGGTAAGTCACATTCGTGAAAAAGCAGGGTATTGTAGTTACGACATAAGGAACATATCCGATATCATCTGTGAAACGGTTATTCCATAACGGTCAACCAACTCGTGATGGCGTCCGTAAAATTTACGAAGGGATGACCTCAACTTCACCATTGTAGGCACAAATTGCGGCAGGGGATCAGGGGGGCGCTGAACGAGGGTTCAGGAGGGGGGGGGGGGGGGGGGCGAAGCCCCCGACGGAAAACGGTTTTCAGCATTTTAGTAACAAAATTTTGTGTACAAAAAAACATGAAAACTGTTCATTTTATCATGATAATATACATGAAAAAAATTTCGAAGGAATTATAATAAACATAATTTTACAATTACACCAGACTGATGAATTAACCGGCAGTACAATTGGAGATATATTAAAAAAATTTACAATATGCATTGCCCAGCGTGGATCAGCGTAGCCTTTTATCAAGCAGCACAACCTGTTTAGTATTTTCATATCTATTCCTTTCTGATTGAGGACAATTGATATATACGTCAATTGATAGTACATATTGACGATCTTACATTTAAAAGAAACCTTCACCGTCCCCTGGCTACACAAACACATAAACACACAGTCGATGCCTTATGCAGAAGTTCTGTTCTGTTCATACTATCGAACAAAATTCAAGAAATTCATATTTCCTTATATCCTGTACTGTAAAATCCCTACCTGCTTAGGAATTTGAATAATTATGGTCATTGCACGTAGATCCGGGAGTACTCGAAGTTACTGAAAGCTAGTTGATTGATTGATTGATTGATTGCTAAACGTCCAGTGGCAAATAGTTCATGCATATTCAGGACAAAAACAAATTTACAATAAATACAACAGGTAGCTAGGTCCTGTAATAGGGGTTGTCCAGGACGAAGGTCTGAAAATTTGGAAACGTCATGCATTGGAAAATGAGAGTTTATTGGATAGGACAGAAATTTTCCTTTCAGTAGACCACCTACTAACCACTCAAAGAGTTGTCGGAAGTTTCTTTATGTGCAGAGAGAGTGGCATTCGCTCTACACTAGGCATCGGATTTAACGTCCCCATTCTGATCAGACGTGACTGCGTATTTATACATCCTGCACAGCCAAACGGACGCCCAACTTTGGCAAGGGTTTTACTGTAGGTCGGATGAAGACCAAGTGGAAAGCTAGTTGAAAGCCAACAACAACTAATTATAAAAAAGCATGTGTTTAAGTTGAGGTTCATTCAAGTATTTGTTGATAGAAGTGAAATGGTCTGAATTAAAGTTCTAGTTTATAGTTTCTATATAAGGGGGAATATAATGACATACAATTCTATCCAATACTCCATTCACCAAGGATGATAGACTAGTGTACACATGACATTTGATAATTAAAGAGTTTTGACGGCTTCACTGGCGTGCATCTGCAGATTAAATTTAATAAAAAAAAAATATTTGTGAAAAAATTATGTGTAGGCACGTGCCTAAAGTGCCTAAGGGACCGGTCATTATTTATCTCTAGGGGGGGCCGGCAAAATGTAAATTTGAAATGATAAAAAATGATTGACCCCCCCCCCCCTTTTCAAAATGTGTTAAAAAATTTAACCCCCCCCTCTTTCAACTACATAAAAACTTTTGACCCCCCCCTCTCTTTTCTGATTATAATTGAAAGGTTTCAAATGATTCAATTATTATATGTTGCTAATATTCCTAGTAAGGTATTTTAATACACATACACAGAGAATGTATTGAGGACGACATCTGATAGAAGAATACACTGATGTAAGGGACCGTTCAATATTTACCAGATGGATGGGCCTGTGCATTCTTAATATTATTTCATTAAAAAAGTTCATGCCCATTCTTTAAAATTCTGCAAAAAAACTATAAAAAGAGTCCTTGCCCCTCTAAAACTTAAAGACAATCAAAAATGATTTAGGTTCTTTTTCTATTTTAATATTTGTATGTTTATGTCTGGAAATCAAAGAATAGACTTTGGTGTATAAATACAAAATTCAAAATGTGCTAGTTAATTCCACATATATATATATATATATTTATGTGTGTATCAGAAACATACATTTTATTAATTTTAAAACCAGTATGAATATACATGTATAGATTTGATTTTATATGTGCAGCCTCAGATATATACAATATCACAATTAAATCTCAAGACATAAGTAATAGCATACTATATCAGCCAGCCTTTCATAGAGGAGGGTATGAATGCCCTTTACCGTCAAGCGTCAAACGGTCATTTTCGGCTACCGTTAGCGTCAAATTGGTTAACATTTTACCGTGATTCGTCAACATATCCTTATCGTGATTCGTCAGTGGTCTCAAATAATTATCGTTATCGTTATTTTTGGGAAAAAAAGTAACGTGATTCGTCAAAATCTGTCGATTTTTTTATCGTCTTGAAGAAAGTCTTCATTTTATCGTCATGCACCAAAAATTACCGTTAACGTCATTTGGCAAGATTTTTTACCGTTATTCGCCATGAAGGTACCCCCCATTACCACCCTCATAGAGGCTTAAGAAGTGCTAACAATATTCATGCAAGTCATAAAACATATGAAGATATATTAACCATACTATTAAATGTACTTAGTTTATATTTTTCTGAAATCTGAGGTCATCTTAAATTTGAAACAGTTTAATGTATCTCTTCTTACGTCTTTGTT